CATATATTCATGTCCACACGTCTTCGTCTCTTCTCGGTATACAAAACTACAAGTTTCCGTCCAACTGGCCTTCATCAGGTTATAAGACGTTGGATTAAAGGGACCTGCTGCTATGTTGTCATGCTGTTCTGTTTTTCATTATGATGTAAAATGCTTATAAAATGTTTTATTTTAGGTTATTTTTTATTACCATGCACGTGTCTGGTGAATATGTAATGGTTATATTAGTGTTTTATTCATAAGATACATATTTTATGTTATATTCTGTTGTTCTATCTCTGCAGTTGTGATGTTACGTTCTGTTGAGCTGTCGGTTATATCCTTTTGTGCCGTGTAGCTGTTCTGATGTTTTATAGAGTGTATGACGTGCACGCTGATAGCATGTGTTCACTTCCTGAAGTGTTGTGAATACTGGGTTATGTGTGTGTCATTCATTTCCAAGTTACTTCTGCTGATTTTACGTATGTGGTATTTTGCCAATGTGTTTAAGTGTTTTCCCTATCTGTGTGTCGACAGTATCTGTTATGGCTCCATATTCATGTCTTGTGTTTAATACGTGGTTTGAGTATCATGAACTACTACTATTATCTCAAACTGCTTGTATATGTTCTTTGTGTCTGGTGTGGAATATTCTGCCTGTTTGTCCTATGTATTTTTGTGGGCAGTCTAAGCATTTCCTTTGGTAGATGTCCCTTCTTTTTTGTATGTATCTGTTCTTGGATGCTGCTCTATTATGTTTTGTATTGTGTTCTACGTTCTAAATGTTAATTTTATTTGCGTGTCCTTGAATAATTTTGAGATTTTTCTTGTTTATCTTCCGCCGTATCTGAAAGTGGCCCATTGTTTAACGGTGCTGTGGGTCGGTGTCTGTATTTTGTTTTTGTGGGGTCGGATGTTTTGTGATTTTGTTTGATATATTTATTCAGAATTACTGGAAATTGGACTTTTTTTTTCATCGTCCGGTATTCCAGAAACAAGGAAAAACGATTGGGAAAGTGGGTACATTTCCGTCATCTGAGGAGTGGTGGGAGACACCTGCTCTGTTAGGTCCGTTAGAAAGAGTTAACCTCAAACACTGGACCAGTGGTTCCGTTGCCGCGGGAACGTGACCACCGAGCCGCTGTCCAGGAACGGCCCTGGTATATCCGCCAATCACGCGGTCGTTCCATAGCATCGGCTCTACACGTTCCAATAACATCACAATGAGACGGGAACTTAGACTGGCACACAAAGTGTACCCATATGATGTTAATATTTTCGATTCGAGTGATGTAAGGCTAAAAATATACAGAGGCCTAGGCACATAAAAATAGAAAAGTCAATACCGTATTAAATGGTTTAGTGCAATTGAACGTCGGAATCTACATACTACAAGTACTTCACGTGCAACATGAATGTCATATACTGCAAACAACACCAGCTCCTGGAGCGTTCTCCCTAATCAGCTTTCCTCACTACTTCAGTGCTTCAGGAAACTATACGGCCGATCCTTGTGTGTGTCATGCGTGTGTTGGATTATCTGTTACATTACAGAACCACGATCTTTTAAATGTAAACAGAGTTATACTGAGAAGCTTAGCTCAGCGGTTAGGCCGCGCCATAGCTCAAGCGGTTAGTCGCTGTCTTGCCATCGCGGCGGCCCAGGTTCGATCCCGGTTCTGGTCAAGTGGGATTTGTGGTGGACAAAGTGGCGCTGGGGCAGGTTTTCTCCGAGTACTTCGGTTTCCCCTGCCAATCTTCATTCCACCAACTGCTCGACAGTCACCCTCACCTATCATCTGTAGCTGGTACAATAGGCCAGAAGTGGCCGCAGTACAAGGGACTTAGTCCCGCCCCACTAGCAATACAATAATAGCTCAGCGGTTACGCGCTGACTCCCATCTTCCTGTAACGCAGGCTGCAGTTCCGCCTAGCATAAGGTTTGTTGGTGTTTTCCTGCTGTTCCAGAAGATGGCGAGAATGGCGCCTTTAAGCATGCAGATAATCTACATTCAAAACATTCTNCATTGTACATTTTATATTCTTTGTCACAACAAAAAAAGGGTCGTTACTATAGGATTCTGACGATGGCGTATAACACACTGATATATTGGGTTTTTGGACTTTATTCATCGTCCTGGTTTTTAAGATAACAAATAAAAACACGACGTTTCGGAAACTGGATCTGTTTCCGTCCTCAGGTGAAGGAAAACACCTACTCTGTTGGGTCCGTTAGAAAGAGCTAGCCTCAATCACTGGACCAGTATAGGTATTTTCCTTCACCTGAGGACGGAAACAGATCCAGTTTCCGAAACGTCGTGTTTTTATTTGTTATCTTAAAAACCAGGACGATGAATAAAGTCCAAAAACCCAATATATCAGTGTGTTATACGCCATCGTCAGAATCCTATAGTAACGACCCTTTTTTTGTTGTGACAAAGAATATAAAATGTACAATGCTAGCATAACATTTTTGTTAGTTAAAATTGGGTCTGATCCGATTTGATATACAGTCACTCACTCACTCACTCACTCATTCACTCATGGAGCTGAGTCCTTCTTAAGAAGCTGCCAAATGTACAGCTACTCAAGAACTATCGGGCATTTCATGGAACGCGAAGGTTCATTACCATTTTCATGAGAGCACTCAACTGGTCCCTATCCTGAGTCAGAACAATCCAATCCATACCATCCTTCTCTCTATGATCCATTTTAATATTGGCCACCCACCTACGTCTTGGTCTTGCCAATGGTCTCTTTCCTTCTGGCTTTCCCACCAATATCCTACATGCATTCCTCTTCTCCATTCGTGCTGCATGCCCTGCCCATCTCATCCTCCTTGATTTGATCATTCTAATTGCTTGATATACACTAAATTTTAATTAAACTGAAATCATGCGTGAAGATACGTATAAAACATAGTTCACTGTACATAATGGCACGTACACTTGCCTCATTTGAACATAAATATCCTTTCAACTTTTAAGCGTCGTTACAAAGCTGACGCAACCGCCATACGTTAAATAGCGTCGGATATAATCTGAAGACCGCAAACACACATGGAGGGGTTTTAGAAATATGGGCTTCGTACACTACTTGAAATGTATTTTTACTAGGTTATGCCCAATCATTTATGCCACCTTCGCTTTCACCAAGCTTTCATGTACCGGTAATTGTATTTACAGACAAACGTACGTAGATGTACTAGCAAAATTAAAACTCTTCAGATTATAGTTTCATAGGTTGCGACATGGTGTCGTTTCCAAGACGGACACGGACGATTCGGAGGTATAAACTGTCATCATCATCAGGTTTGAAGTATGTAAATGAGGAATCAGTTGCTTTATACAGGCAGACTGCAAGAAAGGGACTCACTCAGACTCGTGTGGGAGGAAACGGACGCAATCTGTCCACGTATTTTATTATTCACACAGTGGGGGGTGGAATCCAGCTGGGTCCACTCGGCACGTCGGCCACTAATTGGCCTATTGTACCTGCCCCGGGTGATTATGATGATGGAGAATTTGGTGGAATGAAGACTGGCAGGGGAAACCGAAGTACTCGGAGAAAATCCGCACCAGCGCCACCCCGTCCACCACAAATCCCACTTGACAAGCCCCGGGCTCGACCCCGGGCCGCCGCGGTGGGAAGCCAGCGACTAACCGCTTCAGCTATGTCACGGCCATATCTGTCCACGTAACTCAACTGATTAGTCAGCCCGCAGAATTGATTGATGGGGACATCATGCTCCTCCAAAACGTTTGTATTCGCATACAACACTACAATATACCAGAAACCTGAACATTATCATTCGAGCAATCGCCACAGTAAAAATAAAAAAGAGATAATTCATATCTCGATGTTATACTTCCTACATCGGGAGCCGGGATAGCTCAGTCGGTATGGCGACTGGCTACGGGCTGGAAGAGACCGAGAGGTCGGAGTTTGAGACCAGGTAGAGTCAAGAATTTTCTCTTCTCCACTTCGAGTAGATCGGCTCTGGGGCCCACCCAGCCTCATATCCAATGGGTACCGGGGGCTCTTTTCTCGGGGGTAAAGCAGCCGAGGTGTGAAGCTGACCACTCACCTCCAACTAGTGTCGAGGTCAAGAAAATATGGATCTATACATCTATTCCCTCATACTCCTTCATGGCGTAGTGCTTAATTAGTTAAGTACAGGGTCAACTTTTCCTTTTATTTTTTTTACTTCCTATATCCCCCACAATGAATCAGAACTCGCCGATGGGTTAGGTTCTGGTAGGTCAATTTTAATGTAGTTCCATTACGTTATGTCTGTCTCCAGCAGACTAAAACAGCGGTAAATGAAATCATATCGTTGCTTGCTGAAGAGGCTCAAACACATGGTCCCGTACTGTGAAGACGTCCAATAATATCCTGTTACACGAACTGGCTTATCTGTAGTTATTTGACGACAGTATCAGTAACCGATACCTAGCGACGACTGATGGTGAATAACAAACCGGTCTAATTTAAGGTACTACACCAGAGACTTAGTAAAAGCATGAAAAGCCTCAACATGGACTGACATTATGTAAGATCAGAGGTTTTCGCGGCGGTGACTATGAAGAATGCCGTCTTCTACGATGTGCCGCCGTGTGGATCTTGTGTTAACCGACATTTCGGAGGAACGTATCGCCTTCATACCCGAGGTAGAAACGGCATTCTTCATGGATTGACATTGTTGAGGCAAAGATTCGAAACACACATCTCTTAAATAGAAGCCAAAACCGTTACCGCCTAAGCCAACTTGTTCAAGTTTCATCTCAGAAGTGACTGAATAAAATCACCATCAGGCTCACCAGAATAACCAGATGTCCTATCGACATCGGAATTCAGGAACGAATATGCTAAACTGATCTGTCCAGTTTTGTGACAGTGAGGTGGTCCATATAACATACGCGTTCGTATTATATAACTCGATCATTTTCTTATCATTTAAGAACGAGAGTAGAGTAGTAAATGCCAACGAACCTAACGAAAGATATACATGGATGTCTTACCTGGACAAAGTCCCTTTGAGCAGCGGGTTGGCTGGACCGTCATAATATCCAGACATCTTTCTTGAGTAATCCAATCAATTTCTGGGTTAATCACGATTCACACCAAACATTATCACCACACATCAGCCCATTAAACCATTCACTATGTGATCTCGCCATTCTGCACTGATATATCAACACTGGGCTTAATTACTGACAGCGATCCAATGTAGTAACGACATCAAGTGATGGACATCTCGACCGCCATCCCATGAACCATCACAGGCAATAATCTCATATTGTGCTAAACTACTATTTCACAGAACAACCCCATGTAACACCTCACACACGCACAGACATATATCACTTTGTTTTCGGCATACATAATTTAATGTTGACGTTTACATCACGTTACACTCTGTTGACAAAAACAAAACAAAAATATAAAATGTAAGGCACTGAAGCGTAAGCACGCAGTTATCTTGTTGCATCGAAGGTAGCACTTAACAACGTGACTGTTCTACATTTTTATAGATGCTTGACGGAAATAGCAAAGGAGAAAAGCAGTCACAACTTCATCAGAACCGCCGCTTTTAGGAGACATGAATATGTTTTTGTTATATTAAACGAGTACTGGTATATATCAGTCAGGATGATAACGGTTCCTGTCATCGGAGTACACACTTAGATTATCGAACACCTGTAGCATATTCAGTTCACTGTATTATCTCTGTAAAAAAAAAATCTCGAATCTGAGTCCTATACGTTCTATATTATCTTCAAAACATTAATTAAAATTAAAATCCGTAACTCGGATTAAAAACTCATAAATAATACAACAAATTATAACTCCAGTAACTCAATAATTATCGTCACACACAAAAATAAATTCCTACTAATTCAGCTTCTTTCGATTCCACAAATTAGAACTCAATAAAATATTTTAATCCACATCACACTCAATTGAAATTGTCTTCGGTATTGATTACATCCGTCCCCGATGGCACAGTTTATTAATCATCTGAACCCGTCAAATTGTACTGTCGTTCAGCAGAAACACAGTAACTTGATTAATGGTAACCATAAACACAAACTTCTGGTGTGGGGAGAGCAGAAATGAAGTCAAGTTACTAAACGAAAACTTCCGCATGCACATAACCTCTTTTCACAGACCTACAGCAACAACCTGGCCTTACCACTAAGTCACAAAATATTCACTTATATCTCTCACTATGAACATAGGTGCACATCGTAACCACGATATCCATACGTCGAATCCCTGCACAAACGCGCGTGTATGAACAGCGATTGTCAGACAACCAACTTACAAAAAAAAAAAAAACAACAAACTGTCGCAACCGTGGTACACACTACTCTCGCAATGAACAGCACTGGCTGGCCGAGTAACTGGTTGCTGGCGCTGCTAAACTGTGCTGGAGTGGCGTTGCAGCCTCTAGTTGCGGTGGTAGTGGTAATAGTGTCCTTGATAGCAAGTCAACCTAGCCTAACCAGTGGCCACTACCTGTGAGAGTAACATGCTTTGAAAAAACATAAACCGTTTGCAGCCATTCTAATTACTTTCCAATTGCAGTCCAAGCCACCATCCATTTTATAAATTAAACGTGTATGTGAACATTCGAATTGGCAGAATCAGAAGAAATCCGGATACAACCAACCTACTTCACACTGAACGTCTGCTCCGTTACTTATCTTGAGGTCCCAGTTCCGACTCTTGGTCTTAAGACCTATCCTGATTGAGGAATTTCATGCCATTTCTCAATACCTTCAGTGACGCACTCAGGGAATACTCGCTCATGGCGCTGAGCCCTTCTTGTGAAGCCGCCAATTGTGTAGCTACTCAAGAACTTCCAGCATTTTATGGAATTCCAAGGTTCATTATCGTCTTCACAAGAGCCCTCCACTGGTCCCTATCCTGAGCCAGATCAATCCAATCCATACCATCTTATCTCTCTAAGATCCATTTTAATATTCTCTACTCGCCTATGACTTGGTCTTCGCTGTGGTCTCTTTCCGTCTGTCTTTTACACCAATATCCTATATGCATTCTTCTTCTCCCCCTTTCGTGCTACATGCCCTGCCTATCTGATCCTCTTTGACTTGATCATTCTAATTATACGTACTACCATAATCATAGTCAACGTTAAAACTCTACGTTGTCGAGAATGCACCGTTACGCCTTTAGAACAGTGTTGTCACACGGTGGTCCGCGTCCCACTCTGCGACCTGACAGTATGTTGGGTGGGAAGAGAGCTCTAGATAATAGGAACTTGTAATAATTATTAATATAATAAAAAATGCTGACGCACATAACTGTAAAAACACATTTGTTATAAACAGAGATTTCATTTACTATGGAGCGACCACAGCCTCTTTTTTATCAAATTGACAGGCCGGAGGCGAAATGCAACAAAAGATTGAGAATCAATCGGAACCTTCTTAATACAATTCTGACGTGTTACCGCTTGAGCCAAATTTTGCTCGTTTTCTTGGGTTTCGTGTGCATCTCAGAATGAATTCACGGACTTATATCTGTAAAGGAGACGGGGTGTATTTTCTGTGAGGCAGGAGCTGAATTAATAATATTAAAACGAATTAAGAAACATTAATTTCGCTGAAATTCCTCATCACGGATTCATGGGCTTGTCCACTGAAATAGCAACGTGTATACATATATATATATATATATGACTGTCAAAGCACAAAAGATCAAAACAAACACAATCTCTTGCTACTGAAACTACAAGCTACACCCGCATAAATTTTGGAAGTAGCATTTCATTCACATGACATGCAATGACTTGACTTGGCATTTTGGAAATACATAGTGCCAATTTTCTATTACATACGTCATAGTTTTACAGCCAAGATCTGGCTGAGGCACCCTCACTCATAAGAACCCACCACACTTTAAATTTAAAAAGTGTACATTATTATTATTTGTTCATTTATTTAATACCAGATACCTCGCACATGGCGTCCGCCTCTGTGGTCTAGTGGTCAGTGTTCGTGCCTACATATCCAGAGGTCCCGTGTTCGATTCCCGGCGCTACCAGATTTTCTGATAAGTAGTGGGTATGGAACGGGGCCCACTCAGCCTCGTGAGGATAACTGAGGAGATATTTCAAGGAAACAGAGGTTCCGGTCTAGAAAACCGAGATTAACCGCCGTGGGAATCCGTTGCGCTGACCATGTGACACCCTCTATCCGCAAAAGTTGGCACTGACTTCGCCGACAAGCGGCGGTCGCTCGGTAGGTATTATTCGCTTGCGGACTAAAAGCCATGAAGTTTAGTTTTTTCAGCTTTACCTCCCATATGGCGTCGATTGACACGATAAAAAGAACTAGGAACTGATAAGAAAACAGAAGGACATACTGGCTCACTTTAAGGTACTAGGCCAGCAAAGAAACACGGCAAACGCCTCAGGAGCGACACTATCAGAAATTACATTTGAATTGACTCTGCATTTTGCTTTTACGCCGTCTATGTGCAACTTCGGTTATTGTTCGGTCTTCGTTTTTCTTTACTGGCACATGTTTCGGCATAACCGGCCATCTTCAGGTGCACAGGTTGTTGTGGTTATGGGATCTACTGCTCCTTCTAGAGCTGCTTCGTTTCTCTTGTGTGGTTGACTCAGATTACTTCTGGTTATGTGGGCTAACCGTCTGTTTTCATTTGGTGCCCTTGAGTTGCATGTGCTTGTCTTAGGGTCTTGTTTGGTTTCTTGGCTGTGGCTGGCTTGAATGTTCTTGCTGGGGTGGGAGTTTTAACGAACGATCGTGATGGCGGATCACCCCCAGCAAGCAAATTCAAGACAGCCGCAGCCAATAAACTAAACAAAACCTTAAGACAAACACGTGCAACTCTAGGACACCAAAATTAAAACAGAGGGTTAACCCACGTAACCAGAAGTAACCTGAGGCAACTGCATACGAGAAAAAAAAATAATAGTTTTACAGGGAGCAACAGATACCTTAACCATAGCAAACTGTACACCTGAAGATGGCAGGTTAGGCCGAAACATGTAGTGTCAATGAAGAATACCGACGAATGAATAGTAACCGATGTTGCATATAGATGGCATTAAAGCAAAACACAAAGTCAGATCGATGTAGTGTAACAGTATGCCTCAATATAATATTATATTTTAACTTGGAACCCAACACGCCTGCTTTATGCCCTAGTACACTTTGTGAATTCTTAGAGTTTCTGAAATAATTAAACAAAAAGGAGCAAACGTACCAGAATTATTACGCTACGCGTATTAGTTCCAAATCTGTCGCAGAGTAATCCAAGAGAAAAATCGGACATAGCGAGTTCTGAAGTTCTCATGGCCATGCTCTTGAAGAGTATCTTCCTCTGGGACTGCACATTATATTATCATGAGTTTATGGATCCGTGACTAATAACAATGGGCTTTGGATTTTACAGTCACTTAATCACAATCAATCTACTGCCGAGGACTCGCTCCATTTTCGTTCTCGTTCTACGACTCACTTCTGACTTACGACTGGACTACTTATATAGTCTCGAGGAGGACCAATAGAAAACACATTCGTTGCCAAGCAATGGACATATGCGAACCATACAGAAAACTTCTCTTCCTCTATTGTTGTATTTACAGCGCGCTGCACAGAAACGTAAATTATCCGATTGTTGCCTGCGTAACCGTTGCGGCGGGAATGTGTTTAGCGACCCGCTGCCTGCCAGTGGACATGGAGCGGACCACGCAGAAAACATTTCTTGCGATATCTTTTCTATTGCTGTATGCGGTTGCCTAGAAATGGGTCTACATGTCACAATATCCTGAAGGCTGAAGAAACATGCGCCTCGGAAATTAACGATTTAACGGACTGGACGGCGTCACACCCCAGACGACGCTTATCCTTGATAGGTCACTGAACCCACTCAAGGAAGAGGGTATTTTTGGGCTGGGTTTTCCATTCAAATTACCCTTTCATGGGAACTGCAAGAGGCTTCTAATATCTGGCCACTGTTCAAAATATGACTCACAACGAGGGGTTGAAGAAAATGACAACAGCTAACGGGCAATTAAGAAATTCCTGACCGAAGAACTTCTTGTCGTGATGTAGCAAGAATGGAAGATGGAATGTGTACCGTCTGGCAAGAATACACATCCGTAATCGAAAGAGATAATTTGCTACAACGAGGCGTAGCTGGGCATGTTACACTAAACGGACGGCGAGAAAATACGTCCTTCTCTTTTGGAAACTGTTGATCTTCGAGTTCCTGCTCGGTATGCGAAAGACTTCTCTCCTACTCTTCAAGTAAACATTGTCTTTTTCTTTAATGAGCTTCAGCTGCTAATGTTGATTGGAGGGAAGCTGATATATCTGGAAGGAAAACACTTTCCCTTCATCACATTTTATAATGGTAATTCCTTAAACAGCCGGTCACGGTAGCCGAGCGGTCTAAGGCATGTAGTGTCTTCGCTCGCTTGAAAACCGGGATCGTGCGTTCGAATCCCACTCAGGGCATGGATGTTTAGTTTCTGTGTTTGTGTACAGGAGTCCTACCGAATGTGTAAGATTTAGAAAAACCGAAGTGAACGGAGAAGTTCATGGAGGTAGGCCTAGGCCCACTGGGGCTGTAGTGCCAGGGGGGGGGGGAATTCCTTAAACAGATAAAGTTATCCCTGTGCGTAACTAATCATGCATTAAGCAATGATGATGTATGGGGGAGTGGGTGTATATTTCCACGTATTCTTGACCTCGGCACTGGTTGGAGGTGAGTGATCAGCTTTAAGCCCCGATGGTCATTTCTTAATTATTAAAATATTAATAGTATTCAAGATAAATATAATCAACATATAATGGCTGGGGTCACTGCACTTGAATTGTTTACAGTTGTCCAAATGATGCAAGTTACCTTGTTTTGAATTTTGTTGTGTTTGTTTTGTTTCTTTCTTTCATCGTACTTACTTTATACTTGACATTTGAGCTGATGAGTAATCATGTAAATAAATAAATAAATAAATTTAATTACTGTTATATAGGAGCTGCTGGTGAAATCGTTAAGATCGCTTAAGATAGCGTCTTCAAACAGGCTATGGCAACTACTTCCAGATCCTTACTTATTCATCACATCTCAGTTCAGGATTCACAATCTAGACCTCTGAACCCGCAATAGTGGTTGCTTGACAGCACTGAAGGAAACATGAGAACTAATCAGAACAGCCGATCACTAGCCAGAGATTTAATCCAAAATTTCCCGAATGTGACGCAGTGTTCAGTGAAGAGTAATTGTTTCTCTTCATTTTTGTCTCAGCAAGTACGAGTA